ATTTCCTCTAGGTGCATTGGAAGAAAGGCTTGGTGATCTACTTCTGAAAAATCAGCCTCTGAATGTTTGAAATTGTATTTAATCATTATTTGAGCAGTCTTTTTTAAAAAAGAAGTCAGGGGAAATGTCTTAAGGTTGTGATTTTAAAACAAATTCTGGGAACCGTAAGGATATTTGGGACATAACTAGGTCATGGTGGGGATGCAATCAAGTTGGAGGGGCTCCAGGCCCCCCAACCTCCTGCTTTGTACAGATGCTCTGTTTAGAAACATCTATTTTATGTTACTGCGGTTACGATTAAAAAAAAAAAAAGGATTTATGCTGTTGAAAAAAAAAAATACAGGTTGTAAACCAAGGCATCCAAGCAAAGTAGTTTTAAATTTATCCCAATTGAAAACACTTCATCAGTTGGAGTCAGTGGTCTGTCATTGGATGCATGATTCATATTTCTGGTTGCTTTTGAGGTTAGTTTGGGCACTGGTACAAGTGATGTATCAGTCAGGATTTTGGAGGGTGGGTGGTAACTGTCCGCAGGAGGAGGGGATTAAGATTTAGGATTTTGGAAGAGGAAGAAGACTGAACTCACCTGGGAGGCAGGGCTGGGAGAGAGCGCCAAAATCGGTGTATTGGGGGTGGGGATGAGAAGTGTTAGCATTTGGAATGGGGAACAACATTCCAAAGCAATTCCAATTCCTCAGTTCTGGGTTGTTTACCTGTTCTGTCCCTTTATTGTAGTCAGTTCGATCTCCCTTCTTAGAGAACCAGTGTCTGTACAAGCGTGCCTGTCCTTGATCTGTCTGTTTCTGCAGCAGTGACCTCAGGCTTTTTCTTGAGTCCTCCCTTCTGATTGGGACATACACAATACTTTCCTTGGCTTAGCACCAAGTTCTAGAGCTTCTGCCTGGGCAAACCCAGCTGCCGCACAGACTTCAGAGACCTGAGCACTTGAGTACTCCTTTGGGTCCAAGTGAAAAGACCAATAAAGAAAAAAACAAACCAAACAGTTGTCGTTGATCCCACTCATGGCGACCTCGTGTGTCAGAGTAGAACTATGACCTATAGGGTTTTCAAAGCACTGAAATCTGACGGAAGTAAACTGCCAGGCCTTTCTTCCAAGGCCTGTCTGGGTGGGCTCGAACATCCAGTCTTTCAGTCAGTAGCTTAGCGTGTTAACCATTTGCACCACCCAGGAACTCCAGTAGAGAGATAGTCACCATTATAGATTTAAAACAAATAACGAACCTTGGGAGAGAGGATAGAAACAGGAACAGTAAAAAGGACAAGGGGAACAGGGAGGGGGAGAAAAAGGAGAATGGAGGAAAAGAAGAGGAGCAAACGAAAAAGGGCATGGGGAAACACTTTCAAGAAGAGAATTAGAGAGAAATCTAGCTGTGGATCTAGCAGTGTGCTGGTAAATGTTTAACAACTGACTCACCATTAAAAAACAAAAAACCAAAAAAACTGATTTGCAGCTTGCTGATTTCTGTGGTGTAAATATTCCCACTGCCGCTGATTTCAAGCTACTAAGGTGATGTCACTGGACAAAAAGCTGAAGAGATGCCTACAATTGGCTCTCACCAGCCTATGAGCTGGCTCCAGCATGTCATTGTTCGGATCCCCCAGAGCGTATTAGAAGAACTCCTAAACCAACGTACCACCAAAAACAGCAGTAGGAGAGAAAAATGTATAGGGGTCCCCTCCTCCACTGCCTAATCCATTGCTAGTTTATGGCGGGTTGTAGGGCTGAGGCATACTTTGGATTCCAGCAGGTGATCACGGGCTTCATGGTATGGTGGGTGTGGTCAATGGTCAGGGCCTCCAGGAGCCAGTGGAGCGCACAGAGCTGGCGGAAGAGGGGTTCGCTGCAAAGACAAATGGAGCGCAGAGGGATCCTGTCAGAACAATAGTAGCAAGAGAGGTAGTAGTTGTGCTGGCTCCTGGTTACAGAGCTATTGCCACGTTCCAGACATTGTGTAAGTATTTTGCATACGTTGTCTCATTAAACCTTTACAATGGCTCCACGAGGGGTTCATTAGTCCCATTTTACAGATTAGGAATCGGAGGTTCAGAGGAGTTAAGGAAATTGGGCAAGTAGATGGCAGAGCTGGGATTTGAAACCAGAGGATCCTATGCCAGTTACCTGGAGTTTGTGTGTGTAGGGGGAAGGGACAACAGAGGGCTGCCCCAGCTAGAGGTTCTTGACTCCGGCAAATGAGAGGATTGAAGGAAATTAATACCCTGTAGGGTGTCTAATTGTTAATCTGATAAAAGTACAACAGACTGACACTACAGAGTGTTCTGAAAGTCTGGAGTCACAGGGAAACTAGTGTGTTTATTGTGCTTCCCCCTACACCCAGATTAGCAGTTGGACCTGCTATTTTAAATTTATATGACCATCGCCATGAAAGTATAGCTGGATGTTGAAGAAAAATATATTGAGCATGTTATTTGAAAATGTAACTAATGTTCTGTTTAAAAACAAGTGTAAGCCATATTTTCTGACTTTCAGGCACCCCATGTTAAGCACTTGCAATGAGCCATGCATCAACTTGGGCACTTTCCACACATTATTCAACTCTCCCAAGAACCTGCTGGGGTAAGAAATACTATCCACATTTTAGAGAAGAAGAAACTGAGGCTCAGAGAGGTACAGTCACTTACTCAAGGCCACACAGCTTGTTGATGACAGAGATAGGATCTGAATATCGCATTTAATGCTCAGGACAACTGTATAAGGAGAGTATCATTATTACCTCTCTACAGGTGAGAGAATTGAGGCTCAGAGAGTTGAAGTGAATTGCCCAAGGTCACACTGCTAGATGATCGATGAGGATTTGAACCTGAGTCTGTTTATCCCCAGAGGCCACTCTCTCATGGTGCCCATGAAGCCAACACAGCAAATGAGGTCACCCTGAGAGTGAGGTCAAGAGAGGGTTAACCTCCTGCCCAGATTTTTCCTGGAAACAAGGTGGAGTCTTGACCAGCCCTCCACCCCCACCCCAGTGATTTCTCCTCTTAGACTAATGGGCGAATTGCCTCCATTAAGACCTGTGTAATTGCTCTTCTCTGAAACTGAGTACTGCCTTGATCAATACTCCCCAGGGTTCCTGGGCCTGATGCTCACAGGGCAGGAAAGAATGCATCCTCCTAGTTTCCAGGAAAGCACCACCTCAGCAGGTGGGTCCGAGCCCAGGGGCTCAAGTATGGAGCTGACCAGGGTCACCCCGTGGCATCCCTGAGAGGCATCGTTTTTTACTTCGCTAGAAGGGGCACTTCCCCCTTCTTCCCCCATGTACGGGGGTGGTGGTGGTGGCTGTGTCTGCCAGGTCTTAGGAAGACTAGAAGTCAGCAGCTCTCTTTGTCTTCTTTGAAACTCCTTCCTTCCTTCCATAAGTACTTACTAAGCATCGAGTATTCTCTTGGAGTCTCAGGATAGTGCAAACAGTTAATGAGCTCAACTGCTAACTGAAAGGTGGAAGTTTTCAAGTCCACCCAGAGGCACTTTGGAAGAAAGCCCTGGCAATATACTTCCAAAAAATAAGTCCTTGAAAATCCTGGAGCTTGGCTGTTATCCAAAAGGTTGGCAGGTAGAATTTACCAGCTGCTCCTTGGAAACCTTATGGAGCAGTTCTACTCTGTCTTATAGGGTCTCTATGAGTCGGAATTGACTCGATGGCAATGAGTTTGATTTTGGTTTGGAAAATACTGTGGAGCACAGTACTGCTCTGACAGCACATGAGGTCACCATGAGTCGGAATTGACTGGACAGCAACTGGTTTACTGTTCTTTTACTTCTAATTTGAAGGACCTGTACGTCCACAGCCCTTCCAGTTCTTGTGTCTCTCTTCCCCCTCAGCAACATCTTTGCCCCTACTGGTAACTGCATTTGGCAGCTCTGGTCCCATGGTCATGTCCAGGATTTAGCCAGGAGGAGCAGCTAGCCTTGCCATGTGCCTGGCACTGTGCTAATAAGCGCCTGACTTCACCCTCACCATAACCCTATGATGTTGTGAAAGACCCAGGGAAATGCCAGCTCTTGTGTTTGACAGTCTAGAGTCACTCCAGCCCAGGGCTTTGGGACATGTCGAGTAGGGGGTGACAGGGGGAGAGGATATTAAACAAAGGGAGTCAGCTGGTGAGATGGGGTCTACTCGGTGACATGGGACGCATGAGCATCTGATTCATTTCTGCAGGTGACAAGAACAGACACAAACCTGACCCTGTCCCTCCTTTGGAGCCCTGGTGGTGCAGTGGTTAAGAGCTACGATTGCTAACCAAAAGGTCAGCAGTCTGAATCCATCAACCACTCCTTGTAAACCCTATGGGGCAGTTCTACTCTGTTCTATAGGGTTGCTATGAGTTGGAATCGACTCGATGGGAATGGGTTTGGTTTTTATCCCTCCCTTCCTTAAAATCATCAAACTCCATCACACGTGAGACTCCATCTACTTCTTCAACCTCTCATTGCTCCGTTGCTACCGTCTGCAGCCTGAGAAATTCTGCTCTGTTGCTCAAGCTTACCACACACTCCCTTTGCACTGCCTGGGTAAAAATCCTGGTTTTGCCGTTTACTAGCTATGTGGTCTTGGTCAAATTACTTCTCCGAGCCTCAGTTTTCTCATCTGTAAAATGATGGTAATTGTAGCACTTCTCTCAGAGGATTAGAGTGAGGGTGAAGTGAGGTGCTTGGCACTGTTCTTTGCTCCTGATACATATTCCTCTTCTTCCTCCTTCTCTGCCTCTCATTGGATGGGTCTCAGTTCATCTACTTGGAAGCCTTTCTTGGTTCCTCTAGGAATCAAGTCACTCTTCAAGGAGGTTACAGATCATCTTGGCTTCCCCGGTGCCTACAAAGTGTCACCTTGTCTCCACAGTTTGGGTCCCTGCTTCTTAGCAACTGCCTGTTTACTTGTCTCTTTGGCCCATGAGCCTGCCATCTGCAGAGTCTTCTTCAACACAGGGTACTCTGTGCCTGGAGTGGCTCTAAATTGTGAAACACAAGAGCAGGCATCTCCCTGTGTCTTTCACAACGTCATAGGATTATGGTGAGGGTGAAGTGAGGTGCTTATTAGCACAGTGACAGCAACATGGCCAAGCTAGCCTGGCACAGCATAGGCTCAGTAGGTTTCTGGTGACTCAAAGCAAGATGCCAGGAATGAATTGGTTTGGATTGGACATTTCCCTGAGCTAATGACTTGGGCACAATCCCCAGGTGCAGAACCACTGGGAAACTGAGAAATAGTCACAACAACATAAAAATAGTGAACCCTTCCCGTAGAGTACTTACTCTGTGCCAGACACTATTTTAAGTGCTCTATGTCTTTATTAATTATTGACTAATTTCATCCTTATAACAACCCTGGGAGGAAGATACTATTCTTACCCCATTTTACAAAAGAGGGAACTGAGGCACAGAAGGCTTTTTAACTTGTCCAAGTTCACAAAAGCCCGCAAACAACGGAGCTGGAACCTGAGCCCAGGCAGTCTTCTCCCAAGTCCATGCTCTTAACTACAATGTTGATGTTGTCATTTCTTGTTATAGGATACCTGTACCAGTTGGCCATCGAGTTGATATTGACTCATGGCAAACCCCACGTGTGCAGAGTAGAACTGCTTTATAGGATTTTCAAGGCTGTGACCTTTCACAAGCAAATTGCGAGGCTTTTCTTCCAGAGTGCCTCTGAGTAGGTTCAAACCACCAACCTTTTGGTTAGTAGTCGGGCACTTAACCATCTGTGCTACCCAGGGGCTCCCTGTTATAGGGTAGAGTCCTCCCTTTTCACCAGGACAGGGTGAACTTTTGTGTTTATAAAAAGTACCCGAAATCCAGTGATCCTAAGCATCCCCCCAGATGATTTTGATGCAAGTTGAAGTCTATGAACTGCTAATCTATGCCACTCAGTTTCAGTGGGCTTGTTCGCAGGAAATACTATTGGAAGTGCAAGTGTTTCTAAAGAATATTACAAAAAAATTCTGGTCTGTTTTTGCAAGGAGATGTTTTAGGAACATCTAGCTTTGGCTGCCTGTTGCAGTGTCTTGAACAAATGGGTCTCCCAAGAAGCCAATCATAATATCAATCAAAAGGAGAGGGGAGGAAAGAGGGACCTCATCAAAGGCTGGAATATTATGAAGGCATACAGGTGTGATTAATACATGATGATGGTGAGCTTAGTGATCTTATTAATGGTCTTTTTTTTTTTTTTGGCCTGCTATCTTGTCCTAAGATTTCACTCTTGCATTATTTTACACTTGAAGTTCATGACTCTCCAAATATATGATCTCCTTAAAGGTGAGACCTTTGAATAGACTTTCTGTGGACCGTATAGTGATGAGAGCTTGGGCTCTGAAGCCAGACAGACCTGGGCTTAAAACCCCAGTGCACTGGCCTGCTGAGCTCCGTGACCTTGGGCAGGCAAGCACTCCTCTCTGAGCTTCTGCTTCCTTATCTGCAAAATGGGGATTATAATACACCCATATTTCACAGGGCTGCTGAGAGGGTTGACTGAGATTAAATCTACAGAGTAATCAGTAGATTACAGTACATTATTACTTTGTGCACCATTGTTGTTGTTAGCTTCCGTCAAGTTGGCTCCAAACTCATGGTGAACCCCATGCACAATGGGATTGGATCATTGTGATCCATAGGGTTTTCACTGGCTGATTGTTGGAAGTAGATAACCAGGCCTTTATTACCAGTCTGTCTTAGTCAGGAAGTTCTGCTGAAACCTGTTCAGCTTCATAGCAGCATGCAAGCCTCCATTGACAGACGGGTGTTGACTGTGTATGAGATGCACTGGCCAGAAATCGAACCCAGATCTCCCACATGGAAGGCAAGAATTCTACCACCACTGCCACTGTGCACACCTTAAAAACAAAACAAAACAAAACCCATTGCCATCGAGTTGATTCCAACTCATAGCGACACTATAGGACAGAGTAGAACTGCCCCATAGTGTTTCCAAGGAGCTCTGGTGGATTCAAACGGCCGACCTTTTGGTTAGCAGCCGTAATATTTGACAGATGATCCGACAGAGAAGTCTAGAATTCACTGTACTGTTTTCATTGTCTGAAAGAAGTGTTCTCAACTGGGGCAGGGTGGCAATTTTGCCTCCAGGGGACATTTGGTAATATCTTGAGACATTTTTGGTTGTCACAGTTGGAGGGTGCTACTGGCATCTAGTATGTAGAGGCCAGAGGTGCTGCTGAACACCCTACAATGCACAAGTGTGTGCCTACCCCCTCCCAAACCACAGAGGATTATCTGGCTCCAAATGCCAATAGTACCAAGGTGGAGAAACCCTGTCTTAAGTCAAAAGTTTATACGTCTGTGCCTGAAATGTTCCAGATGAAAAGTGCTGACTAGTGAAAAAGAAAAAGTTGGGCATGGAATTCTTTATAGACATAGGGAAACAAGATATGCAGGTTTTAGAAAGCAGTGTTCTTTGGAGGGTTGATTAGCCCCTGTTACTCCATGCAATGATGAGTTCATGCCTTTGGGTCAGGAGACGACACATGCTTCTCTGGGAAATAGCTCCTCGGGTCTTGGGAAAAACGTGTCCCCTGAGCCCTGGCTGAACCGTTCTGCACACGCTCAGTGAGGCCTCTAGACAGATTTTATCAGGCTTTGCAAACTGTTTGACATTAGAGTGTCTGGCTTGGTAAGAAATGGAATGACTCAGTCCCAGCTGATTTGCCACTTAGCTCTAAACCACTGTGTCTGCTTTCTGTTATTTTTATATGCCAAATGGCTTTGTGGCCTTCAGGTTCCATGTCCCTTTCACGAGGACAAAGGCACAGCTTCAATGGTTCTTGATGTGTTAGCTGGTTGAGTTTCACCATGGCTTCAGTTTATGAGCTAGCAAGGCAAGGGGGCGAGGCTGTGCTTACACGTGAGCCTCAGGGAGCCAGGGCGAGATGATGCAGCTGTGCCAGGGGGTGAAGGGGCGGAGCACGATTTCGGTCACTCCTTCCACCTTTCTCATCTTCTCATCATCGTAGGTGCTGAAGGAAGAGCAGACATAGGCAGAATGAACAGTGAGCAGCAGTTTCAGACACCTTCCTTTCCAGACACTCTTCCTTGCCAGAGCTTACTCAACAGGTATTTTGGGGCACCTACTGTGTACTGGAGTCCCTGGGTGGTGCACACAGTTAACGTGCTCGGCTACTAACTGAAAGGTTGGAGGTTTGAGTCCCCCAGAGGCTCCTTGGAAGAGAGGCCTGGCCATCTGCATCTGATAAATCAGCCATTGAAAACCCAGGGGAGCACAGTTCTACTCTGACACACATGCGGTTGCCATGAGTTGCAATCAACTCAGTGGCACGTGGTTTGGTACTATATGCCAGGCACTGTTCTAGAGGCAGCTAGTGAACAGAGCATATAAAAATTCATACTCTCATGGAGTGTACATTCTAGTGGAGCAGTGCATAGAATAAACAAGATAAATAAGTAACCTGTGATAATACTAATGTGCTAGATTAGGGGTTGGAAATGTTTTCTTAAAGGGCCAGATAGTAAATGTTTTTGGCTTTGTGGGCCAAAACTAGGGCCAGGTCTCTGGCAGAACTACCCAAAGCTGCTGTTGTAATGTGAAAGCAGCCATAGATAATACATATACAATATGTAAATGACTGTGTTCCAATAAAACTTTATTCACAAAATCAGGCAGTAGGCTGGATTTGGCCTGTGATGGTTATAGGTGCAATAGGGAGAAACAAAGCAGGGAAGGGGGTTTGAAGGGCTGTGAGGGGTGTGAGTTGCAATTTTAAATAGGAAGATTGGGAAAGATGTCCTTTAGAAGGTGATATTTGATAAAAATCTGCAGAGTTTGAG